TTCGGCGTAGAAGGTTCGGTGTGTAGAACATTCTAACCTCGAATCAGCAGGACGGTTCTCGAATTCACTAGAACATCAAATTACACTGTCAACAAAAATGTGTAGTCGCGGCCAGGAATCAAACCCTGGCCTTCTGCGTGGGAGGCAAGCGCCATAACCGTCAGGCCACGCTCGCGCTGCCTACTTGGCCAGCTGCGCGCGCGGTAATATTTAGGTTTTAGCGTTTTTGGCTTAAACCGAATAAAACCGGTAAAAGTACGCCGAATTCATTTTTCCGAATTCGGTTTTAACTTGAAAAGGTCAGGATTTTCGAGGGCGTTTGGAGGGGCAAGTGATCGATTGAGATCAGTTCAACTTTCAACAAAAGCTCCGGGAGCGCAAGGGTCTTCAAGACGAAATCTAGGTTTTTCACCTCATAAGGATTTGTGTACCTCATTCTTTGTTCAAAGAAGAGAGTTTAGTCGTGAACAGAACAATGAAAATCAAGGGCTTCCATAAATGACGCACATTTTTTTAACACTTCTCGCTTCCGTCTACTAGAGGAGGGCATAAAGACCATTGTTTTATTTATGGTCGTTTCTGTGGTCGACGCGAATTCACCACTCTCGCAGTCGTGAAAATGGGGGGAAAAGGCACTCAGTACAATGCTTGCAAATGTCTGGATTTCGATATTTGCCTCTCCGACCGAAGTGATAGTGAAACTTATGCTCGTTCTGTGTACAAATACGAGCAGACGACGAGAATGTCAGATCACGATAGGGCCCCAGTGCGTCTTGCAGAACAGGTCGCGTTTGCTGTCACAGACAGGAACAAATAAGAAAACCAGTACCTGGTTTAATCTCTATACATTTTGAACAAAGGCCTTTAAATATTGCCTTTTCACAAGTATACTGGTTTTCGTCAGTTAGCCGAAACGAACCGATTAGTTTATGAGTTTACAGATATTCACCGTAATAAACCGAAAACTTCTGTCTGGAATAAAAATAAAAAAAAGTACGGCGGATTTCAAAATAACAAAACCGAAAACGCAAAATCCCAACTATATTGTCGATATCCTGTTTTGATGCTGTGGTGTTTCATCGCTGTGCTGTTTTGACGCCGTGCTCTTTTGGCACGTGCTCTTCTGTCTCTGTGCCGTTCTGACGCTGTGCTGTTTTGTCCCGTGCTGTTTTGACGCCGTGCTGTTTGGACGCTGTGCCGTTTTGGCGCATGCTGTATTAACCGTGCTGTTTTGACGCGTGCTGTTTTGTCGTGTGCTGTTCTGTCATGGTGCCAGGGGAGGTTCCCAGTGACTGGAAATTCAGCAGGATGAGATTATTTTATAAATAAGGGCAGGGAAGACAAAGAGAGTATCAAATCATACCGACCAATCCTAGTAACTTCAGTAATACAAAGGCTAGCTATGCAAATTGTAAAAAGAAGAATGGGCAGAGAGAAAGCAGATTCTAGGAGAGCTTCGAAACGGTTTCAGGAAAGATAGACGACTAGATGATAATTTATTCGTAATCACGCAGTGCATAGCGATAGCAGTGACAAGTCAAAGGCCATTATGGGTAGCATTTTTAGACATCAAAGGGGCATATGACAATGTGAATCAGGAAAAACTCTGGAACCAACTGAAGGGATATGGGCTAGAGGGAACTATGGTTAAGTTTCTAGAACGAGTTTATACGGAGAATATGGTGGTTATAACATGGGAAGCCGAAACTACAAGACCGGCAGCAATAAAAAGAGGTCTTAGACAGGGTTGCAGAATTGTCTCCCCTGCTCTTTATGATATACCTCAGCGAGATGGAAAAAATGTTAGAACGGTGCAACTTAGGTTTTGACCTGACTTACATGGAGGAAAGACATAAGGTAAATCAAGTATTGCCAGGGTTAATGTATGCAAACGACATCGTGTTCGTATCAGAAAGTCGTGAGACAATACAGGAACTGATTATGGTTTGCAGCAGGGAAGGGGACAATTTAGAACTAAAATTTAGTAGGAACAAGTCTGGTATAATAGTTTTCAACGACGAGAAGGGAGCCCTGGAGATACAGGACACATTGATAGAACACGTAGAAAAGTACAATTATCTGGGAGTATGGTTAAGTAAAGGAAGACCGTATCTAAAAGGCCATGAAGATATTGTAATAAAGAAGGGGAAACGAGATTCGGCTATCATGAAACACAGGGCACTATGGAACTACAATAGATATGAAGTCGTTAGGTGTGTATGGAAGGGAGTCAGGGTGCCAGGACTGTCATTTGGGAATGCGGTATTGTGCATGAGGTCAGAAGGGCAGGTTTAGAGATACAACAAAGGAGTGGGGGTAAATTGGCATTGGGGGCACATGGGAATACACTAAATGAGGGACTACAGGGGGGTATGGGCTAGGCATCTCTGAGAGTAGAGAAGTGATCAGCAAACTAAAATTTGAACAAAGACTAGCTGAAGTTGAGGATACAGGGTGGGCAGCGAAAGTGTACAAGTATCTATATATGAAAAGTTTAAACACTTATAGCCTCGTCCCACTCGAACGACAAACACCGAATTTTGTCTGGCGACAAGGTAAAGTTGTCTGTCGCTGATACCGTCCCACCTCAGCGACAAACGGGACCGACAAACGCCGAGAAACACTCAACGACAGAACAGTTCTTGTTTGTCGTCTGACTCGTACCGCCACGAACACGAAGCGGCAGTCCCACCTACGAACACTGTCCGACGAACTATCCGCCTTGCCCTCGCATTCGCGTCCGCTCCCTCTCGCGTTTCGACGTCGAGCCGATCGAGCCGATCGAGCGCCTTCATTTGGTATGGCATTTTGTCCGGAAAAACGAGCCGTTGTGGCCGCTCTCCTTTTATTTGAGGCCCTATCCTCCAGTGAGGATGAAGAGCTGCCAACGAAACGAAGGATGTGGGTTAAGCCCTACCTGCGACGACACCGGGAGCAGGGCTGCTACGCTAACTTGATGCGTGAGTTAGCGCTAGAAGACGCCGAGGCGTTCCGCTCTTGGATACGCATGGACACCGGAACATTTGAAGAACTGTTGAGGAAGGTGAGACCGCTCATCGAGAAACAAGATACGTCATTCCGCGAAGCCATCCCTGCAGGCGAAAGGCTGGCGGTCACGCTGCGATACCTCGCCACTGGTAAGTCATGTAGCAAGAGCGAACCGAAGAATGTTGTTTACGCACAGAGTTTGCTTTTGAACAACATAGTGTTAGTGTCTAAAGTACCGTCCGATGGCGCTCTTGGAGAGCGTTCAAGTGCCATCCGACGACATTCCACTCACGCCTTCAAGTACCGTCCGAAGGTTGCGCATAAAACGAATTGTCAAAGCGAATTGTTCGCAGCGGAAACGTAGCTTAGCGGGTAAGATATCCGCGTCAGACGGAGCGTTCGCGGGTTCGATACCCAGTGTAGATTTTCTTTTTTTATTTATTTTTTTCCTCCAACATTTGTTTTGTCGATTTCACGTATATCTGAAAAATTAATCTTGGTCGCATTCAGAGATGCACATCGAAACATAAAGGAAAAGACATGAGATCGTCAGGGTTTTTTTTTTAATTAAAGTTTTGACTCTAAAATCACCCGCAAAAATCAGGAACTCGACGCATCAAGTAGAAACTTGCTTCGAATACTTATTTTATTGGTCAGATTGACGCATTAAAAATTTAAGCTTCGATTGGAAGTACAAACATATTAAAATAAGAATAAAGAACAACAATATCCCATGTTACTAAATGAGACAGTTTTTTATTTTTTATTTTTTTGCACATGGAGTGGAGGCTTAGAATTTTAATGTGGAAATGGGACTAGTAAATTACATATTCGAGGTAACCTTCAACTTGATACATTGAGTCAATCCTCTTTTACTGTCTACAAACAAAGTTACAAGCTAATATTAATGGCCCGTAAAAAATCAGCAACTGTACGTATAAGGTTGAACTTACCTCAAATACATATTTTACTACTCGCACGTATGCGTTCAAATTTCAAGTTTCTACATACAGAAGAAGAAAAAAAATTACACCAATTTGGGGCTTTTTTTTTGTTTTTTGTTTTTTGTTTTGTTTGGAGTGTGAGTGGAGACTTTAAAATTTTTTGCTGGAATCCGGCAAGTATAAGACGTATTCGGGGTAAGTTTCTACCTAATGCGTCGAGTTCCTGATTCTCACAAGCAATTTTACAGTCCAAACTTTATTTCGAAACACGAACGCGGCGGCGTTTGTGAAATAAAATATTGCGGTTTCCGGATGCATCGATTTGATATTCTTTATCATACTGGCAGTGCTAGTTATCGCTCGTGGTATTCATGCACGGTCGACTCTTGTGGAGTAACGTTTGCATGGGAATTTCAAGTCTTCAATTTCTCAATTTTAATAGGAGCCAAGTCACGATTAAGTATTTTAGCACGTGATTGAGGTTTGCGAAAGAAAGCAATTGCAATATTAGGTGAAACACGCTGTACTCTCGTGTTTCATGATGGTATACTTGTTTCTGTGCTGTGCATTTCTGATCTCGGTGCTATCATTTCTTGCTTACAGGGGAAACCTTCGCCTCCATGGGTTTCCAGTTTAGAAGGGGGCATAATACCATTTCCAAGATAGTCCGGGACGTTTGCGTCGCCATCTATGAAGTCGTGGCCCCCGACTACATAAAGGTAGATTTTTCCTACATGATTTGTTGTCAGCATAATGAGAGCAATCCTTACATGCTTCACATTAACTCATTAACCCCTCCATAATTCAGCCAGCAAGACAGAGTTAATGTATCATACTACATATACACTGAACTGCTCTTTCATCTGTATGGAGTAATGCAAATAACAAAATATTACGAATATAAGCTGGCGACGATGCTTTCGAGTTATTCATTGCCACATATTTCTACACTAAGTGAAATAAACTAGAGATAATACAAGCTTTTCTTGCATCTAGGCTTCGATAATCGAACCATGGAGTTAAAAAAGTGTGGGTCTGTTCAAACTTCCGAATTTATTAGACTGAGAAATGCCAAAACTGAAACTAGAGGTGCGATGGACAACACTAACACCATTATAGTATTGATGCCGAAGTATTGATCATTCTGTTACATTGCTGCATGCATGTGTAGTGGCCAAGTGGGAACCACACTTGGCTGCCATGCAGAGGTCCCGGGTTCGAATCCCGAAACCGGCAGCAATTTTTTTTATTAACTTGTAAAACATGTCCTAGAAAATTCAAGGCTGTTGTCTTTTGTTCTAGTAGGAATGTTCTAGGGCCAAATGTTCTAGTAGGAATGTTATAGAAAGCGAAGCGGCAATAAAACGAACCCCACATGGTTGTACAGAATCATTCAATCTCCAGCGCTCAACCTTGCTGTCACGCCGACAATCGAAGCCTGCGACGCAGTTATTTTCTTTTGTTGTGGGCACAAGTTCACCCCCATTAAACAATTATTTAATTCAGCTCTTCTTGTCACCAGTTATTTGTGACAATATCTGTCCCTGTTACCTTGCGAATTTTGTCACTTTTTCTGCACGTTGATGGAACATACAAGTGGAATATGCAAACACATTAGTTCAGAACGTGCTTGTCGACTTTTTGGCTATGCCATTTAATAAGTGTCAACTTAGTGGATTCCACTGACTGGATCCAAGAGGCATATCGGTGCTGTTTGATGAAGCTACAGGCATAATATTTCAATATACTTTTTCATGATAACACTCAAGTGAACTTCACGGTTCTTTTGGTAGAAGAAGTAAAGAGTTATTTCTATGTTGCCTCATACTTGACAAACATAATTCCCTATTCCATTCAAGGTGCCATCAACACCAGGCGAGTGGGAGCAAGTTGCCCGAGGCTTCGAAGAAATCTGGCAGTTCCTTCACTGCCTGGGTGCCTTAGACGGGAAGCATGTCACGATCTGCCCACCTCAGGGTACAGGAGCTATGTACCGAAACTACAAGGGTACCTTCAGCATTGTGTTGATGGCCCTTGTGGACTCTGATCTGAAGTTCCTGTACGCTGATGTGGGTAGGAATGGTCGTATGAATGACAGTGGTGTATGGACTGCCACGGATCTACGGGCACGTATTGACCGGGGCATTGCTGAGTTTCCGAAAGCAGCCCAGCTGCCAAACTCAACGAAGACGGCACCTTTCGTCATCGTGGGGGACGAAGGGTTCGGCATGAAGCCATACCTGATGCGGCCGTTTCCAGCGTTAGAGCTGGAAGATGCCGAAAGGATCTTCAACTATCGGTGAGCTCACAATATGCTGTGATCACTATGCTGCTGTCAGTGCATATTGCCAGTTTACTTGCATTTCCGAGTTACGAGGATAACAATAGCATACCACGGCCAACAACAAAGTGCCATCCATACATACCGTCATGGCTGCCTATGGGAGTGTCTGCCACATTTGTCATCCATGCATTTCATGGGCGTCCTTTTCTGTGTGCTAAACCAAAAAAATGAAAGGCTCCATAAAAACATGGAGTTGAGAGGCCTCCCCAGAGGGCTGGCAGCTTGACAAGAAAAAGCAGCTGCGCTGAAAGAGTGTGTTGTGTGGCCAGCGGCATCATCATATGTATTACCGGCACAAGCAGCGTCGCCAGCCCTCCGTAGTCGGAATCAAAAACGCGCAAATAAACGTCTTTGTCTCTCAGCAATCACCACGTGCAATTGTGTCCCTACGCGGGGTTCACATGTTGTAATTGTAATTTGGTAAGCGAGAGCAATTTCTTCTCTTTTTGCACTGTAAAATTTAAAATGGCAGACCTCTGTTAGGCTTGAACCACGCTTCACTGAATTCTAGATTGAAACAATTAAGGGATACCTGACAGGCGAAAAGATGGAATTGGTGTTAATAAAGAATACTAGTTTCACATGGGCAACACATGTGCCCAATCAGAATGCTACGACTGTATGTCAATCTCGCCAGCAAAATTGCTGAAAGCAACTTTTTCTTATTTGAGCGAAGTTACACGCTGCAAGCACGATGGTGTGCTTTGCTATTTTTATTGTTATCAGCCGAAATGGTATCTTCATTATTTTAATATCCCCTTTGCTGCAAATTTGTTTTCTTAAAATCCCAGACCTGTTGAATTTGTTTGGGAAGTGCAGTGTGGGCCAAGCTGAAGAGAGTTAAGTAGCACAGCCATGGTGATAAGCAATCAGTAAGGGTGTGAATATATTGTCACAAATGATAATTGATTAAGTGATAAATAAAAGATACTGAACATTTAATGTGGCGAACTTGTGCCGGGTAAACAAAAGAGGAACAGTAGCGTCCCAAGCGTCGAAGTTGGTGTAACCACAAGGGTTGAGCGCTGAAGCGAGTCTGACTCGTCAAGGTCCCGTGCAGCTCCTTAGCTTTACTTCGTTTCTCGATAACTTGGCGAACCATGGAGGCTACGGCCCCCGTGACCTACTAGGGACGTTGGAGTGAGGCACATGACAGCACGTCACGGTGGCATTCGTGTCACTGCACCAAATGCGAGGCCTGAAGGAACCAGCTGTCGTCTGCTGGCAAAGAGTCGTCCGCTGCGATACCAACCAACTCGGAATGAATGTCTACCGCCGCAACATTGCGTTCCGCTAGAGTAGCGAGGTCTTTGAGAACAGTTCATGAGACAGACATACAGTCAATTTATCCGTGAATCTGTGGCGGGTGCGACATTTTGAGTGGCAGTGGTCGACTACAGGGCTGTGATTGTTCAAACATGTGGCGCTCACTCTCTTCTCCGTGGTCACATGCTATTTCCTGTGGTTTAGACGCAACCACCAAAGGTAATCAGAGTCGTGGGTCATCGAAGGCGCACACTCAATATTAAAAATAAAATAAAAATATGATACTCATTTTTTGTGGCTTTTAAAAAGCTTCAAATATGTTGAATGAAAAATAAAAGTTGCACAGACACGTGACTTCTGCCAACACACTTTGGCTTCCACACACTTTTCCTCTTAATTTCTTCTTCCTCCCCAGTCCAGTTTTGGATTCAGTTTCAAACAGTTGCATTTTTTAACTTTATTAAAAAATATATGTGATGCTGTAGCAAAATATTGATTGGGTAGCTTTTTTGACACCATAATGGATTGCCTAACAAAAAATAAATTTTGGGGGTGTCAGCATCTCTAAGTATTCTTTAAAAGTAACATATCTTCGTCTTTCTTCCGTGTAGTGTAGCGTAGTGTAATGACGCAACTTCAGTTGCCGTTAAAATAAAAAAAGATGCCTGGAACTACTTTTTGTTGTGTAGGCCGCTGTTGCTGTTGTGGTAACGAGGCCTCCGCAGCCTTGGAGTGCTGTCACATGCCTTGCTCCGATACCCTTATTGGGTCGCGGCGGCTGCAGCCTCCACAGTTCGCCAAGTTATTGTGACACTGAGTATAGTGTGTGTTAGCATCTTGAAAATTCGGCCCAAAAGGTATGAGCGTTCGGGGTGAGGATGAACAGGCATTTTCAAGAACAAGGAAGTTGGACAAAATGATAACAGTTACATCCCGAGCAAGAATAACTACAAATCTTTTAGAAGTCTGTGACCTAGTGTTACTTGCTCGGCCCTGCGCACAGCAATATTGCTGAAAGTCAAATAGCAGAGTGTCATCCACAGCTTCAGCAGTCATCCTAGCAATCAGTGAACCACTGGCATCTTTCTATGTGTGTGCTTTAGGGTAGTGCAACACTCCAGCTAATTTGCCTTTTTTCCTCATTGATTGAACAAGATTACAATCTATTTTACAGGCTTTCCCGGGGACGCCGAATTGTTGAAAACGGCTTCGGCATCCTCCGGAACAGATTCCAAGTCTATGGGGCTCCTCTTCGTCACAAGCCGGACAGAGCGGTGAAGGTTGTGAAGGCGACTATTGCCTTACACAACTACCTTCGGACGAAGAACGGCACGCGGGCAAGGTACACACCACCCGACAGCCTTGATGTTGAAGACGTGCTCACAGGTAAATGCGAAATTAGCTGTTCAACTGGTGTAGATATGTCGCTTTCAATTTTCAATAGTTGCGTAATGTACAACTAGACACATCTCCAGCGTGTTGCTCACAATCAAAATGTGTAGTGCTCTAGCGAGGGTCCCCCAATTCTTCTGGTCAGCAGCCATGGCAATGCCACTCATTATTATTGCTTGCAGCTATTTCTGAATGTAAACAGCACTATTCGGTGCACTAATGCAAGACTGCTTTACATCGAAAGATCTAATGTTACTGTTTAACCGGTTTCACATCCATGAAACATACCGTTGTGGAAAGACGTATGCGTTCCTTCGAATTGAAATGACTATGGCCAAGAGAACAACAGTCAGCTCGTGGCTTTTTTCATTGCAACACAATTTCCCTCCAAAGAGTGTGCCGACCTCTTGCACAGCAATAAGTGCCGTATGGAATAAGTTCCTTATGGCGAATTTGGGTGGTCAGTCGCCGGCAACTTATTTTGCCGGAAAACCGGCAATAGTGTTCCCGTAATCAGTTTCCGGCCGGCGCGCACCGTTCGGGTGGTGGTTCTCCGGCAAGCAACGGCAACTTTCCGGCGCTTTTTCGGCCCGAGCTCCAAACGGCCGGGCCAGCAGGCGCCAGTCTGTATCCAGTGTCGTTACTTCCGAAATGGGAGAGAAGGTCAGTGAGAAAAAAATGAACGAAAGAAATAAACTGATCTGAAGTCACTTCAGCAGCCACTGCTCAAGTCAATCCAAGCCGTTGGAGCATGGGTGACGGCAGCAATAGCCTCTTGCTAGCAGTGTCGCGCGAACAGGAGGCGAGGTAAACGCCACTGTCTGGCGTTTCGTGTTCGGGCGCTGAGGGTCACGTGGTGTGCCGCCAGCGCGTTTCTGGTTGCCGGTTCCGCCGGCTCAGTCTCGCCAGCGATTGACTACCCGAATTTGCTATTATTTAGGAATTCTGCAATGCATGGCGTGCAAGAAAAATGCAAAGAAAGCAAGATGTGCAGAGCGGTATGTGGACATAGCTGGTCATGCCACATTTGAACTTAACAGCCCATCTAAAGCAACACCATTATAAGCAAGCTGCTTGTGCCATTCTAGTTCTGCTGTAGCTGGACAATACTTGTTGGCTTGTATGTGAAAATTCCTTGCTATATTGGTGTCGTGCCATGCACTCCTTGCTCTCCTTCACATTTTGTGCAGCCGTTTTTTCCTGGCAGCGCTCATGCCTTGCAAATGCTTGGCATCAGATAAACTCTACTCCACAGCCTCATAGCATTCGTGGTTCCTTTGTGAGGGTCTTTGCAACTTGTAGTAAAGACTCGGTTAATCTCTAATACTGCTAGTTGGTGGTGAATGCGTTAAAAACATATTAATTTTCATTTCACTTGTTTCAGTCACTGTACGTCAAGGCAGCTGGAGAAAGGGTGTGAACGACAAAGCAGTCTTCCCCCTGGAGCGCATTGGTGGCAGACAACCAGACGACGCCAAGGCTGTTCGTGAGGTCTTCAGAGACTACTTCATGAATGAAGGCCAGGTTTCTTGGCAGTGGAAGGTGCTGGAGTAACGGTATGTCATGTTTGTATGCAGGAACGAAGTAGCATCCATTAAAACAGTTGTTAGGGTATTACGACACTACTCAGGTCCGCTGAAGCCGTCATTATCTGCAACCCAAGACATTGTAGGTAAACACTGAAAAAAAAGGACACCTTTACCGACTTCATTTTGCATGTGTCCCTCTTTTCATGTAGATTTTTTTGTCTATACATAGTCAGGCATATCTAAGTATGACTGCTGATTCCAAGCTCGACTGCGTCCTTACTATTGTTTTCGCTTAATTTTGGTTGCTAATAAGATATATAACATCTCCAACAGGCCATCTGTATAGCCAAACAGTTGAGTATAATGTATAAAAATTTAGGTGTTGTAGCTTTCAAGAAGTTTGTTGCTCTCCGAAAGCAGAAAAGTAAAAGAAAAGGCTGCCCGAACTGCAAGACATACCATTCTATTTATTTCCATCGAAGATAAGCGCATGCGCTCAAGCCCACCGTCTGAATTCACTCATGTGCGATCCTGCGCTCTTAATAATCTTAAACCATTTCGAAATAATCCAACAGTTTTCTCATCCTTCTTGCTAGCCGGTTAGAGACAAAACAAAATGGAAGAATAAGTTTTTACGGTGTTTTGTTGGTTTGTCTACATGGTGTGCGAATATAGGCATCGCAGCTAGAGGAGGCCAATTTAGTGCCACAAAGTACCATAGCAGCGCACCTGCTTGGCTTATACATCAGCCTAGCAAGTGTGCTACTGTACTTAGGTTACTACTAGTTTGTGAAAGCTCACCCAATACCAGCCCAATTTGAAACCACAGAGTTGCATAGAAATTTGTTAGTGCTGTTTTTAACTCTTCGGGCCCCATCAGGCAGTTCTGACAACAATAAACTTCTACTGTACACGAAGTACCACAAATTATTTATGATCCTTGAAGTGTGTGCAATGTTGGATCCTACACCAACTGAACAGGGTGGCTAGTGTGACCGCAGCAGAGTTGATAGCAGCAACACCAACCAAAACTAGAGACACGACACTCCAGCATATGAAACAAGTTTAAAGGGATGCTGAACCGATATTTGAAATCTCATAATTATTGCCCGAGCGGGCTTCACGGGATGGTACTGTACCTAAAAACGATTGAACCAATATTTGAAATCTCATAATTATAGCCCGAGCGGGCTTTACGGGATCGTACTGTACCTAAAAACGATATTCAATCAGACGGATGGGGCCCGAATTATTGTATTTCTTTGAACTAAGAGTGAATCCTCGGCTGGAAGCCGCCGGCGCGAGCGAGTCCTTCTGAGAGCAGGCGTAACAGAACTGACGTGCGCATTCTCGGTGCCATCTGCGCCCCTGGTGCCTCCGCGCATTCTCCTCGTTCGTTCGTGCTCCCCTTGATTCTTCGCTCGGCGGCTGTTTTCTAAGCAACCGGTACTAACAATAACAAATGCCACCCGGCTTAGCGCCTGGCTTGGCTCTGTCTTTTGAGGCGAATGAGAATGCGCACGTCACGAAGCGAGCTTTCCACGACGCTCACCAGGGGTCGCGTAAAATTGTATTTTTCGTGTTTATTCAATTTTATACGCCTTCTTGCTCAAAACAACGTCATTTAGAAGTAAAGGACAGGCTATGTATGCCATTGCGACCAAGAATTTCCACCCAAAAATTTCGGTTCAGCATCCCTTTAACACTGTAGCTGTGAAAATGCAACATGCAACATGCACACAGTTGGCCTGTGCACCTCAACACAAAATAACAGAAAAAAAAAGAAAAAAGAAAACTATTTGACAAGGGCGAGGAGCCTGACAATGTGGCAGTTTGTTGTCCGGTTTTAGTCTCCAGACTTATTCGAGCTAAATCTGCTACACTGTGCCCAGTGATTGCAGGGACTGAAGGCTTGTACTGAAGAACAGAATGATGCTTGGTTCAATTCCCACTCCTGCTTGTTACAATAAGGACGAGCATGGCACGAGCATGCGGTTCTGTTGTCACTCCACGATACATGATAAAGACCCCCCAGGTTAGCAGTTGTAGCACAGAACCAGTGTCATTATATTTTAAAGGTGGACTCGCCTTATGTTGTGTAAACACTTGACACGTCCAATTTGCCTTGCTTTTGCCTGTGAATGGACTATCTCTATCTGGAAAAGGAGTTGCCCCTGTGCACGGAGAAAAGTTCTTTGCTGAGCATGCGCAAAGCTCATTATCTTGCAGTAGAATGATATATTGTCTTGCTGTGTGCTTTTTCTGCACCGGCGGTTTACAGCTTTGCTGTAGACTGCCCGTGTCCTCTCCCTCAGCCCATTTGACTGTTTAACCCGAGCACGTTTGTGCAGCAGTGCAGAAGGCACAAGCACTGAAACAGAAAAGTACCTAGTGTGGGCACGGGTGGGTCCACCTCAGAGCTTATCACAAATGTGCATGTTCTGCTGAGTACCTTTTTTCAGCACCGCACACAACCAGTGAGAAAGTGTGGGGCATTGTGGAACAAAAAAACCATATAAAGCTCAAACTGAAACTTTTAATTTTCTCCTTCAGGCACCACGACCAAACTGGCTGCGATTGAGTTCTCCACCATGATTCTGTGGGCGGCCAGCATGGCCATCTGCCTGTCCGCACCCCTTGGTATGCTGCGGGCGCAGCACTCCATCATAACGCCGAAGCTTCTGCACTCGTCCGGCTGCGGCGGCTCCTTGGCAGCGTTCAAGCTGTCGACAGCTGCCTGCAGCAGCACCGCCCTGTTCGGTGCCGCCTCCTCCGTGCGGCGGCAGTTCTTCTTGGAGGGTGGAGGCGCTGACTGCACAGCTTCTTCACTCGGCTCATAAATCAGCTCGAGGCTATCATCCTGCACATCATTTTTTATCCCACTTCTTGTATTATTTAATGTTTTCTCTTTTATTCTCGTATTCACAAGCTCTAAAGTACATATGCATATTTGAAACCAGAAGCCTGACAAAGAAAGCTTTTCATGAGAACAATTGAGTGTGTGTAACGAATGTATCGCAAATTATCAATTACGAAAGCTAAGGTATACAGAGGTAATTCATTTGGCGAGAAAGGATCCCCTGAAATTTGTATGGAGCACAGATGCAATCATTCCATATTCCAGTTTGTTGGCTGGAACAGTGATAATCTCTATAAACTGCCTTTTTTTTAAAGAACTTTTTTGTCATTGTTTGAGTGTGAGCCGTGACCTGTAGATTTGGCACATCTGCTGAAGCCAACACTTGTGTTGCCCATGCAACTATGTGCTAAGGAATTATTAAGGGTAAAGGTGCTCATCCTGTTAGAGTCAATTATTGGGCGATGCCTTGAATGAAGTGGCACAGATATGTTTTCTGAATTGTGTTGCTCCTTCCCGATTAAAAGAAGGTCCCTCCAAAATGGGCACTTACCACTTCCCCCTGGGAGGTCTCGAGTGTCGACTCGCTTTGGGCTTCAGGAGCCCCAGCCGACAAGAACCTCATTTTCTTGTAGTGCGCCCACTTTGGAACAAAGATGTCATCGGCCCCAGCACCAGAGCGGCTCGAATCCTTGACCTTGCGGTTTTCCCTCTGGTACTGGGACCGCATATTTTCCCATTTGTTCTTCACTTTTTCCACTGCAATGCAATAAAACAAAATATTCACACTCCATATATCTTGCCTAGGCGTTTTATGCTGTTGAGTGTTTCAAGCCATGTTTAAACTACTTGTTAGAACTATCAAAGTATCAAAATGTATACAAATGCTACAATTGTGTCACCATATTTCATTCGCTGACATTGTAAATTGTCGACCAAACTGGACGAATAAATGTGGTTTGGTGTAAATTGGACTCGTGGTCATATTCAGTTATGTGCACTCCGGAGGCGCGCGTACAGGCGAGTCGCAGCGGTGGCGCGATAGCTTTTCGGTCACAAAATTGCGTAATTAAATGCGCGTGAAGTTACAGTGATTCTGAGCAGCTGCAGCCGCTACCGCATCGCGATCAAATCGCGAGTGCTGTCAAACTAGCGATTTAATCGCACTGCGATCGCGATGAGATCACGCATGCGGCTACCTTCTTGCTAGCGCTCGCCAGCGCAGTAAACAACTTCAAACAATCTCGAATACAGTACTTTAGTTCGAGCGTGAAAGAAGGGTGAATGGTGCGAAGATGTTTCAACTCCGGACGTTTTAATCGCAGAAAACAACCAATGAGTACATACCGTTGCCGTCGAAGCCCAGGGCGATGGCAATATCTCTGAACGCCTTTTCTTTCGTTGTCTTCTTGTGATAGGATGGGTGGGTCACATCCAGACTTGGACGTAGTTCAACTACTCTACTCAAACTACTGTAGTTTAACTACTTTTTTGAGTAACTTGGTAACTTCTACTCAATTTTTTTTCAGGTAACTTCTACTCAAATTACTAACTACTTTCGAAATTATATAGTGCTAATTTTGCCCATCACGAAAGTTTGACCGCAGAAATGAATAAGACGCCGGCAGATGAAGAGGCATTCCCTAACATGGGGCCCCCTTGTTCGGGAAGGCGTCCTTGGGTCGAGGTGGCGACGAACAGCCAAAACATAACACCGGCGCGCACGAATGCAGGAAGAGATGCTTAACAAGCCTTGGTCGGGTATTGACCTAATCCGGTAATGCACGCAGGCGCCGCGTTTCCATCTGCAACCATGAAAGACGGGGACACTCCGAGAGTTGTTGTCTGTCTTTAGAGAGTTCTGACTCAAGCGTTAGGTTCCACGGGAGGCGCCACTGGAATGACCTCGCAGCTGGGCGCCTGTTCCCATGGTCGCCTTGTCGTCAGCGCATACGCCTTTGCAAAGCTGGACTCCCCCGCGCACAAACCCCGGCACGGATAATCCGTTCATGGAAGCACGTTCCCGCTTCCAGCTGCAACTGTATACGAGCGACGATGCTTCTTCACGTAATCCTTCGTGTCCTTCCGACCATCCACGCCAGGGTTTGTTAAAAACGATTTACTTGTCAGGCGTGTCAGGCGCGTCAGGATATTGTAGTCGCCGGCGAGGATTGCGAGTTACCCTTGGGAGATCTTTTTGTTGGACCCGGCGTCAGCGGCGAGGTATACTTCGGTTCATCTTCTGTTAGACAAAAAATTTTTTTTTTTCAGTAGCGTAGCACTAGCACTACAACCGGACGCGCAGTCGTCCGGATGATCTCATCGTCGTGGCGCGAGACTTGAACCCTTGACGGTCTGGTGCACTCGCTCAGCGTACTCTCAGAACGGCGTCGCAATAAAGAGGGTCCAGTCATAACAATCTCAACTTGACGAAGAAAAAAGAAAAAAAGGAGGAAATTTTGTTATAAAAGACCCCCTACCCGACGCAAACCTCACATGTTTCGTCATAGACACCTAAGATGCCGACACTCGCTTACTCGACCCTGCACAGCCTGTTTCTCAAATTCAACGCTGCCGTTCCATTCAGTGCCACGGTGGAACGTCTATTTAGCTTGGCTGGGGACGTCTTAAAAAGGAAAAGGGGAAAACTCTCCTATCAAGAACTTTGAAAGTCAATTGCTTCTACGAGCGAATAAACTATTTTGGCGAAAACGCAAGCTATAAATAGACTGCATTTACTTTAGGCTCGCAGGGTTTTTCATTGATCAAAACTGCTGTTCATTTTGCTACCACAAAAATATAAAAAAGTAACTTCGAAAGTAACTGGAAAGTAACTCGCTACTTTTTAGAGTAGTTAGTAGTTTACTCAATTACTATTACTAATGCGTAATTTCTACTCTACTCCAATTACTTTTGGCGTCGATACTCAGTAACTTAACTTAACTACCTTTTTTGAGTAATTTGTACATGTCTGGACTCACATCCCATATTAGTGGCCGGTCTTCTACCATTTGAATCAACGTCGCTTCGAGCGCCGAGTCGAACTCTGGCGTGGCTGACGCTGGGGCTCCCATCTCCAATCCTCGTGGTTATATCAGTTATATCGATCGCGCACAAAGAACGCTTCGGATTTATTTTGGTGTCGATGGTCATGAGGGAAGCGCGGAAGTAAACAACGACAAAAAATATTAGCCGGAACTGTATATTAAACATCAACACATAAATAATTACCTCTTCTTTGGCCGTGTTTGTCGGCGCGTAATTCTCCATCTAGCAAAACGGGAAGACTGCGTCGCCCGACTCGGTTTGTCTGTGTATTTTGCCGTGTTTTGTTGCCGACTTCAGTCCCACCAGGAAACAAGTTTCCTTGTTCCCGTGTTCTGCGTCGTGTCCGCCAGGTGGGACGGCGGACTCCGAAAAACAGGCTGTCCGTCGGTGTCGTCTGTCGCTCGTTGTCGTGTGTCGCTGTCGTTTGTTGCTGTCTGTCGCTCTAGTGGGACGCGGCTATTAGGGCCAGTTGCACCAACGCCGCTTACCTTAACCCAAAGCGGCACTTTCCTAAGCCGGCTTAGCGCACTAAACCGAGCTCAGGTAAGCACGGGTTTAAATTCCGGTTGCACACACGCTAAGCCGGCTTTACAGACGCGCCCCTAGCTAAACGCTGGATTTGCGTAGGAAATCTAGGGAGAAACAGAGCGAACTAGGGAGCGCTCAGAGGGACGAATACGATTGGCGGAGAGGAATCACGTAATGTAAACAAAAAAAAAAAAAATAAAAAAATGCCGCAGTAGTCGTTGTCGGCGTCTGCTTTTCGCTCTATTTCTTCGGTGAGTAACAAATTAAAGGTCTCCAAATTCAATCATTTTTTTTCGTTTAACTTTCAATAACAGAAGTCAAAGCTTCAAATAAACACGAATGCTCTTTACATCTGTGATTGTGTGTTTAATATTGGTTGATAACAGGATATTTTGACAGTGGTAGTAGTTTTGGTGCTCACATTTTAAGGCGAAGGAGCCATCGGGGGCCCCAAATCTCCCCGAACGCGAGAAGGACACTCTACTCGCTAAATCGCTGAAGACAAAACATCATGGATATAAATATGCAGGTAATACAGGTTTTACTTGAGCTAGTTGGTACATACTTGAATATGGTCAGCTGAACGATTACAAGTTAGAAAAACCGTGAGAGGAAATACAGGTAAGATGACTACTAAAATCAAGTCAAGCCTGAGACCGATGAAGTTCAGAACAGTGACGAACTCGCCACGGCAGCTGCGAAAATGCCCGGAAATCGTCGAATACAAGTCGTCGAGAGGTCAGGTCACGAGGCCTTGCATCGACGGTACTCGTTGCTATCAGCAAGGTGACAGAACTGCACTGTACCGTTGTTGAACATCCGCTGCAGCCTCAAACGGACTTCAGTTTCACACTGTCGAATTCAGAAAAAAAAAGTAAAAAATTCCACTAGTACATCACATCGTGCCGATAAGAACAGTCGTCTCTTCGCATCGCCTGACCCAGCCTGCCCCGATACAGCAATGAACGAATCTAGCATAGTAGTCGTTACGATTTGTCATCGCCACGAATGAAAGATATAAAGAAAAATATTCCTAAAAAATCGCGATCACCAAAAAGTTACGGTTATAGAACGATACAGTTTTGTGAAGCCAAGATTCTACTCGCGAGATTAGAAAAATTCACTGAAGATTGTCTCAAAACTCAGAAAACGAAAGA